CTGCTGTCTTATCCCTGTAAATTATGCTGGAGGGTTGTAAGAACATGGAAACAGGCTGCTGAAGGTCCTTCACTGCTCTTTAAAGGGTCTTTCATTTCATATGGCATGCCCAGCTATGGCATAAAGGGAGGCTTGTCTAACGTGAATCCTTGTCTGGTGCTGCTTCCCGTTGCACTGAGGATCACTGTAAAGATTGTTGCAGCCAGGCCTCTTCGTATGACAAGCAGGTCTACACAAGAATCAAATAGGAGGAAGGGGAAGGAGAATATGGCAAGATCTGTAGCCTCCTCAGTAGTTATTTGGGGTATGAACATATGATAGGATTGGGTGCCTGCAGGGACATCAAGAGCCTCTTGGTTTATACATGGCCAACTTGGCTTTACTACGTTTGAAGTTATATCGCTCATGCAATACCTCGTCTTTATCACATATATCATATCTACCATGCTTGCTCCAGTCCCTCTGACAGAAATTTTGACTTTCCAGATGAAATAAAGAGAGCAATATTTCTTCTTGACCAGGCAGTGTCTTTATCAGATACTTCTGTGCATCAGTGGTCCCTGGTTTTCACTAGCCACTCATATGTGTTGTCATGAATGACTTTTTTTCTCAGTTGGGAAACGGGGGGAAGTTTTCTCTAATTTTCCTAATTTTCCCACACATGTTTAATGTCAGGAAAGGTATATGGGAAGGCTTATGTACAAGTTCACTGTTTCTCTCATTTTCCTATGTCAGCAGCTATATATCTTTATAATCAGGATAGGAAAATGTAATGGGAATGATGATATTTTGCCACTGGCTGGGCTTAATTGCTTGAAAGATCACAGAACTCCTACTTCAAAACCATAAAATGTTAGCAGATATGCTCTGTTACTGACAAATACAGAGTGCTGTTAGGGCTTAGCCTTTTGGAGTGTGTGAGATTTCAGAAAAAGTACTAAAGAACCTGAATTAAAAACAAAAATAAAATAAAATAATCCCAAACCAACTCACACCAAAGGTATAAAAAGAAACAAAGCCTACATTGCAAAAAAGAAAATCCTGTATCGTGAAGGCCATGTTCATTAAATGGGAATATTTATGTCTGCTTCTGTTCCTCCACTGATGTGTTAACATCTGTAAGAAACATGTAATTGTTGTTAGCTAAATAAAAACTATTACCAAGGCCAGTATCACCATTTATACACACACATATTTAAATTCAATTTCAGCATGTGAAAAAAATCATATTTGCAACCAAATGACATTGTCTTCTAGTTTGTTTCAAGTAGGTTGAACTTTCAAGTGATTAAACAAGGAAGTCTACTCTGAGGCAAATTACCCTCTAAGTGTATCACAGTATGTGATGTGCACACTTCAATTTGGGCTGTCTACAGCCCCATTTACAGACACTACAAGGGCTAGTCCATGAACCATCTCTCACAAGACTCTTGCATCTTTATGCATGAAGAGCTAGTTGGGAGATGTTTCCATGGCATTGAAGAGCCAGAGTAGAAGTAGAAAAACATCCTTTTAACAATCCTGGGCTTTAATGCCTTTCCTTTAGCACATGTGGTGGTTTTCATCTTTAGTTAGAATTTCATCAGAAGTGCATAAAAATATTGCCTTGATTTGAATCAAGGAAGCTGGAAGCTGGCTACTTCACTGGGGCTTTTTGTTTGATTATTTTTCTTTTACTTTTCCCAATACTTGTAAGCAGCATCTGATTTGCTCACAGCCTATAAACTTATCAGCATTTATGCTTCTTCATATAGAAAAATACTGCAGCATTTAGTAACCTGCCTTCACGGTATTCCCATTCCTGTTATGGCAGCAATTTGGCTCTAAATTTCTAAACATAACCTTTAAATATGCAAAATCATCTAAGCCAAATGTAACAGACTAGTGGGTTTTCACTTAGTACAAAGGGATGGAATTAGGTTATTTTTTGGTATGTTTCAGAGGTAAATGTAATACTCTCCCCACACTGGGCTTTTCTTGCCATACATGTAAAATGATGCATAAAGGCACCTGATAACAGTATTTAGAAATAGTGTCAGTGTTTCAAACCATGTGTTTAATATACACATGCTTTAAGAGGTTTTAAAAACAGTTGAATGCTGGCCTCTGATCAGTTCCACTTCCTCCCTTCAATCCATTTTCATTCTCCCCAGTTCTCACACTGTCAATAAAAAATATTATCTACCCCCAAAAGAGAGAACTTCCTAAATTGCCTATCATTCTCCTAAAGAGGAAAAAATTTGTGCAGTGAAAAACACCTACAAATCAGCAGTGGTTTAGACAGCAGGGATAATCTGTTACCTTAGACTGTATTTATTAGATAACTTTCAGGCTGGGTGAGTGCAATTAACATAATAAAAGGTTAACAAATTGAGACCCCTGAAAAAGTTAAGTAATTAAGATGCTGTCTACTTATATTTTTCACAAAAATACTTTAGCATATGAAGGATATGTATATTCATCTGTCTTATGTAGCCACATAGAAGAAAGCGTGTAAAAAGTTAATTTCTTTTTAATGGTTTGAAGAATATTCTTTGTCTTTTCTGAAGTTACTGATGTTTCCCTATACATTTGTTCACCCCTACTATAAACTGTTGTAAAAGCATAATAAATTTACATATATATTTTATGTATATATATGCATATATAAGCCACAATGAATGTTATATTTAAAAAGAAAAGTAATATTCCAGATTACTGTAGAAACAGTATTAGATACAATTGTTTTTAATGCCTTTATCAGCAGTAGCAGAAAGCATTATCAGGTAGATTGAGAAAATGTGAGAAAGATCAAGGGTTTAAAAACAAATCAAATTTAAAGGAATTAAGATTATACTGGGGCGGGGGGGAGGAATCCATCTGATTTGTTGCTCCTTAATTCGCTTTCCCCAGGAAAAAAAAAAAAAAGAAAAAAAAAAAAAAAGGAACTCTAGCCACTATCATTCTGGTGATAAGTATTATGAAATAAGCATGTGCTACGTTGCACAGCTGTATGGTTATTCTAAATGTTCAGGAGCATCTAATAGTAAACACAAGCAGTAGCTTTAAAGATATTTCTGTACTAGAGTGTGCTTTGATAGTAGGAAGCTGTAACATGCTAAATTCTGAAGTTTCTGTGCAACAGAAACCATACTGTACAGAGACACTGCACCTACAGCACTGTGGTCAAAAAGTTGATTGAAAGGCATTTTAGATGCAGAAAAATATGTTGAGTTAGTACATGTTAATTTCTGTGTATTTACGTTTTTCTAACATGCTTTTATAGATATATATGTTTCAACAAATGCATTGCAATTTTCTGTAATCAGAGAAAACATTAAAAGAGCATTTGAAAGATGGCAAGGGTTTTTTTCCAGAATTTGAATGGAGTTTTGTTACCTACCTCATTATTCATTCCAAATATCAAAAACCATTGAGACAGACAAATTTAGAAAGAGCTTACTATAAATTAATCATCCTTGAGACCAGTGCTGTGGAAAGTGTGTTTTTAAAATGCTTGAGTAGTTGTGTATAATGGCAATTAATCTTTTCTTAATTATACATTGACATAGGCTAAGGAGATTGAAACAATAAGAGGAGTAACATTCAGTATACTTTTGGGAGAATAGGTGCTCATAGGATTGGCACAGAACCTCATATTTCTGAGGTGGACTAGCAAATAGGGATTAGCAACACTAAAGATCATGTTTTCCATGGCCTGATGTGCTGGGATTTTAAGGTAATCTGGGGTCACAGTTGTTAGCATTAACTTGCATTAAGAGTGTGACAAGATAAAACAGCAGCTATACAAACCATGTACAGATGAAACTTCTTGCTTCAGCATTAAAGTGCAGGGGAGCTATTGCTTATGGTAGCAACAAGCACAGGATTCGGCAGAACCATAAACTTCGTTGTCTGTCCTTGAGCTATCGAAGATCTTGACCACATGTTTGATTAATAATAAGTTTACCAAAACCGTATTTTCATCTTAAAAATTCTAGTCACTGAGAATTATTAGAGAAAAAAAATGATGTAAAAAAATCGTAGTCATTGTATGTGCTTAATGGAAATCGCATATATGAAGAATTGGAAGAAGGAGAAAAACTCAACCATACAATTAGCTTAAACAGCTTACGGTAGTTTCTTATTCTGAGTCACGTGTCTTACTGGAACTTGTAAGCTAGTGCAGAAAAGAGGAGGAAAAAAAAAAGATATGCAGGTCTTTCATTGTCAAAACAGTCCCTGTGAAAAATTAAGGTTTTATACAGAGTAATGATATTTTTCGCACTGCCTAGGTTTTGCATGATGCCAGGTCATTAGCTAAGCTAATGGAAACTTATAAGCATGTTCCTATTTTTTTCTTTCATAACATGACCCTAAGAATTTGTACTAAAAAATGACAGTTCATATTTCTAAGTACCTAATTTGAAATGAAATAAATTATGTCTGTGTTTAGAAAAGACCTTGTTTCAAGGCATTTGTTGCTGGCCAGCTGCTGTTTCTTCTCTGTGCTCATTTCTCATGAGTGTCTGAAATTTTAAAACATCATATTTCTTCAAAATTATCGTGTGTGTTTATATGAACAATTTATTTTTACACAACTGAAACACTGTGTGAAATAATTTCTTCACTAAAAATCTAGCAGGATTTAGGGGGCATGGAATCAAAGTCAGTCACTATCAAAGATAATAATTTACTGCATGTTTTCAAACTGAAATGCATTTTTAAAATGTTGATGGGAAAGATGTATGCAGTTACAAGGACACTTCATAGCACTACTTAATGAAAATGAAGATGTCCCATGCTCTTTAACTGTACTTCTAATTTTGTGCTGTGATAATTTTGTGTATTTCCTTACTTAGGTAACACGCACGTATACTTATATTCTATTTTGGAACTATATTTATATTTATGCATTTGCCTTTGAACATGTTCACTTCACAGTCACAGATTATATTTCCAAAAAAAGGACCACAAAAGCCAGCTCAGGGATTTCTAATGGACCTTTCTTTTTTTTCCAGGTGACATTTACTAAGAGGAAATTTGGGTTAATGAAGAAGGCTTATGAGCTGAGTGTTTTGTGTGATTGTGAGATTGCTCTGATCATCTTCAACAGCACCAACAAACTGTTCCAGTATGCCAGCACTGACATGGACAAAGTGTTGCTGAAATATACTGAATACAATGAGCCTCACGAAAGTCGAACAAATTCAGATATTGTTGAGGTAAGATTTTGTGTTCCGTGAAGATCCTTTATTCTACTCTGAGGTGCAGGGACTCAAAGCAAAAGACATTATCATCTTTCTCAAGGGCTGTAGAATGTACCCTGGAGGTGACATAACAGCAGGAGAGCAGAACAGGGACAAGAGAGAGTTGGCTTGGGGGTTGAAGGTGGTGCAGCAGAGACTGGAGGGGATCCATGTCTTATGTGAGCTGTAAATTCTATCCTGCTGAGTCCCGCAGGCTCAGCAGAAACTCCAGGGATGGGTTGTCCAGCCCCCTGTCATCAAGCCTGTTGTGCTGCTATGTCCCATTAGCTCTCTCCATGCCTTGACCACTACCTCCTAGCTGAATCTCCCTCTTGCCTCCTAGTTGCTCCTGATGACGTTTTCCAGAACACTAGTGTGTTTTATCTTCTCGCTCCAAAAGTTATAATGTGCTTTGTCCAGGAGAAACCAAAAAAATATGTTGTAAAAGATGCTGAGGAAAAAGATTTAAAATCAATGCTTTTAGGCATTCAACTGACTTGTTTAGATTTCTGGTTATTTACAGAGGAAGGAGGTTGGATTAAATGCAAGAAAACTTTGCTTGTGAATTGCACAAAACCAAATGTTTTAGCTACCTCACACAGAATGCTGTTACCATAACATAATAATAACATCATCAAAGCAGTACTACCAGAAATCTAGACACACCTGGTAATTTTTTTTAATTACATAGGGAAAGTTTTATTTACAATTACTGAAAATTATTAAAATTTTATGTTTTAGTCAATTTTAAGCTTCACATAATTGCGAAAAAGTGAGTTTACTTTATAATCACATTAGGATTCAAGCCATGCAAAATAAATGAAGCTTTTAATGATTTTGTTGTCATAGCAAAACGCTCAGAGTGATTATCTAAAAAACTGGTTATGTCACTTAATGCAACTCCTGCTTTCATAGCAAGTGAATAGGCTTCTAACAGTATAATTTTACAAAGCACTGGAAGGGTGAGGTCCTGTCTTAGCAATCAGTGAAAATTCATTGATAAATGCTATTGGAAACCTTGGCCTATACACTTAGGTTACTTCAGATCTTATTTAAGGTTGGTTTCAGGTGTTGTCTAAAATGAGACTTTGGTGCTTTTTGAATCTTCACCTAGGTTAGTTATGTGTTTGAGACCAGCAATGGAAGAAAGTAAGTGTGTGAATTACCTGTAATGTGGTTTTGACAGATGAAAAATACTCTGTAATAGACATCTTCACACTTGTTACAAGATGTCAGAGTCACACCACCATAGATTGTCAAAGACTGCAACCCAGGAATATATATAACACTTTTCTGTCTATCCTTATGTCAACATATAGGATGATACTGTTTTGGTTCCTTCGTGATCTCCCAGTAGATTTTCACCCCTGTTAGGAGAGGATGATGTTCTGACAGGAGATCAAGAGTTTATGTGAGTTAAGACTAAGAGGAAAGTGCATAATTTCTTCCCCCTCTCCATCTCGTCCTTTCTTCTCTTACTTCAGCTCTCCAGTAGGCACATGAAGCCTTTCCTGTCACCTAGCTCTTGTAAGCCCATGTCGTGCCCAGCAGGATTCAAATTCTGTCCCCAGAATAAATGACCTGTCCTTTCTCAGTGGCAAAAAGCCAGAATGTTCTTAGCAGGAAAAGTTTTCTGTGATATCTTTACTTCTTCCCGCTAGCTTTTGCATGGGAATAGGTAAGCCAGTAGTTACAGATTTATTACTTGTTTCACAATGAATGAATACTTTTAATCATGAGCACTGTGGTTTTTCAAGAAACTGGAGTAAAAATGTAAAATTTAAATTAATGTCCATTTTGTTGTATCTTTCAGAGTTTCAGAAAGAGCACTCTGCATCAGCAAAGTCCCTTTCCTACAAAAATAGTGGCCCAGTTTGGGTAGGCTAGTAGGCAGTTATGCAGGCAGATAATACAATTTTCTGCCTATACCAAACATTTGATGGGCATCCCTTTTTGCTCCTCTAAAAGGAGCCAAATAAAAGTAGGTAATTGAAATAAACACTATTTAAATTGAATAATCTAACAACAGGCAGAAAAGGCCAAATGAAGTGCATATTTGTACTTTTTTCTGTATGTTCTGTCGGCTCTGAATTTAGTCATTTGATCATTTTGCTGTTATGTTTTGCAGTGTTCTGCTTGTAAACACATAATACTTAAGCCACAGCAATGCCAACACTCATCAAAGTAGTACTTGGTGCAGGTGTAGATTTTGACAAGGGTTTTGTATTATCATGCCTTTACTTGATAACTAAAGTCGCAGTTACAAGTACAATAGAGCAATAGAGACCATGAAAAATATGCAATCTGAAAAATGGCATGTAGTTTGGATATATTTTTAGATACAGGATATAAATCTGCCACACATTTAAATACTTAAATTGATCAGTTAAACTGACTACATTACACATATTTTCCTTCCAAAAAGTCCATTTTTTTATAACTTTCAGACAGCTAGATTTCACACAAATTTTTAATCTTGTTCTTCCAGAGCAATCAACAGCAGCTGAGATTCAGACAGTATTATTAAATCTGATCATTTTCAGCTAAATGACTGTTCAATAACTGTATTTCAGTGGGAGAAAAGGGCATAGCTGTTCTCACAGATTTCTGTGCAGCAGAGGAAGAAAACTTTTTTACGTAGACATGAAAATTTGAAATATAACTGTCAACCATGTAAGGGTCTTTAGTTTAAAATCCAATTTCTGTTCACATTCAGCATAATATTAACTATTCAGTTACTTTTTGGTTGCGGTAGAATTATATCAGTCATTAGAATGTGGTATAACTTCCTTGAGCAATATATATTCAAAGAAATCAAAAAACTAGGTCTAATATGTATTTATTTACTTTTAAGTTAAACCACTGCTATTCAAATGGAAAAATTACATAAATTTTCATGTATGGCTGGCAAAAGCTGTTAATTTTATTAAGCAAATGTTTCCAGTTTAGTTACTGGGTTTAATTATATTTAGCATTTCTGAAGGAATGAGTCTTCAAGCCATAATTTGTTATTTGAAGTACTGAAAGACACCAAGTGTCATACATGTAACAAACATTGCACTCTTTTTCAAGGGAAAAACTCATTGACTTTCATTTGAATACTTCTGTTGCTGCAAACGAAGCGATTTGGTCATACCCAACCTGTTAGGTGTATGATCTGATTGCATCTGTCATGATGTAAAATGGAGTGGCTAACATGAATAAAATTGTAAAGTTCAGTTACTGTTACTCTTTTGAGTTCTTTCGATTTAATGTTTCAAGCAGAAAGGTTATACTTTCTTTAAACATGTAGTAATTTTATGTACATGTAATTAATATAATAGATATAACTGATATCTGAGCTGTTTAGACCACAAAATTATTTACCACCTGAAAGTGTTTCAGTTATTATGCAGTAAATATACTTACAACATGCACAGGTAACTAAAAATCAATGTGTACTCATGAAGGTGAAAATGTTTACATTCAACACTAAAGTTTATTCATTTTAAGCATCAGTGACAATAATTGTAAGTCTTAGGAAAGTCGGGGGGGGACGGGGAGGCATGAAATGTATTTGTTCTTAAAAAGAAAAGTTCATTCGGAGACTTCTGTTTAGAGTTAACTGGATTCTTCAAACTGAAGCCTTTATGTCCTCACCAACCAAACCACTCACACCACAGTCATTCTTCAGTTTTGCCTCAGTTGAAAAGTACACGTTGGTTGCTGGATATAGTGACCTATTTTAACATGCAGGGCTCCTTCAACACTGAGGAAAAAAAACATCTTTACAACAAAATATTCAGCAGCTGTCATTTAAAACCCTGTGATATAATTACTGGAAGGTTTGCAAATCTTTACTTTAAAATGGGATTACATTTTCCTCCCATTACAAAATCCTGCGGCATTTGGCACACGATCTTTGGTACAGAGGTAGTGTTTTTACAACTATATTTCCAGTCTGTCCTTAGGAGTTTGTCAATACATCCAATTCCGATATGCTCTATCAGAAAAAAACCCTTACCTTATGAGTTTGTTGTTTATCAGCACAGTTGTGTAGGACTAGACAATATTTTCTTACAGCAGAGAGGAAATGGGTAAGTGCCAGAGTTTTACAACAGACAAGCCATGTGCATTATGCATTTTTTGCATTTATTTAAGATGAGGCCAGATCCTCTCCTTGTTTCTGTAAAGCAGAAGTGGATGTAATACAATGTATTTCAGTGATATTTCACTGCCAGAATACTGTGAGTGACAAGAATCCAGTGCCAAAGCACTATAAGCCCACTGTTTAGGAGCTCAGATAGGACATTGCCATTAGATTGTAGGGGGCGTATTTCAGAGAAGGGATACATGAATTCATTTCCATCTTGGCTGCAAATGCTAATTACAACCCTGAGCCATCAAGCGTTTGTTGATTTAAGGTGAAACATCCTGCCTGTTTTTTCTGTCATTGTCCCTTCTTCCTTGTCACTTTTTTCATGTCAAAGGATCAGATGCTGTCTCAGCCTTAGCAGACCTCTAGTCAGTTTTCACTAACTCTTGGTTTTGATTCTATTTCTTGGATACTGAATCTAATACACTGATCCTTTGCATGCACATAAGTCATTCCTCGACAGATCACTAACCACTTCATCCTTCAGCTCTTCTTAAGCCCCAAATCCATAATTTTCTTTGGCCCTGCTGCTCTTATTGTCCCTCTTTCTCCAACAGGCTTCTATTCCTTTGCTGATGGAGGGGTCACTACCTTTAATTCAAGTTCTCGTACTAGATCAACCCTTTCAAATTCATCCCATTAAACAGATCTTCCATTTTCTGTCCATTTTCTGTCCAATATACATCCACCTCATCAGTTCTTCTCTGCAATACCAGTAATCATGGGTAGAGAAAAAAGAGGAACAACACAAACTTCCTCCATTTTTCTCTTTCCTATCTGAGGTTCTCTATATTAGCAATGCTGATCCCCCATCAAATCTTCTTTGAATTTTGTAAAGTTC